AGGAATGGGCAAGGCGATGCCTGCAGATGGTCGGGGGGACGGACTTCGGGTCTGGAACATGAACTTGAAGGTCAGCAGGGAAGTGAGCCTGGCTGGAAGACAGGAGAGAGTGGAAGCCGAGGCCAGGACTCCGCACTGGGAAGAGGTAGTTAAGAAGGAAGGGCAGCCTGTGAAGAGGGGCTTCTTTCTTTAAGACAGAAGACGTAATGACAAGTGATTGAGAAAGATCCAGTAAGGAGGGGACTGATGGGAAAGATCCAGTAAGGAGGGGACTGATGGGAAAGACCCAGTAAGGAGGGGAGAGTTCATTAATGATGCAGGGGAGAAAAGGTGGCAAGGCTGAGTGCCTTGGTCTTTGGAGACTTCGCACCCCCACGTGGAGAAGTGGGCTCTGGATGCAAGCACGGACCCAGTTGGGTGTGGACAAGACCCAGACGTCTGGTTTATGGGAAGAGCAGCAGGTGTGAAACCAAGCGAGAGGGACAGAGAAATGTGGGTAATGGTCGGACAGCCCACGTGAGGATAACGATCATGAATTCAAAGGGAGACCGTGTCTAACCTGGACGTGTTTTCCTCTGGCCACATTTTGGGTGAACAGGTTCAGCAGTTGAAGAGGTGAAGAGATGGGGTGTAATTTTGCCACATGGCCACAAAGGAACAGAGAGACGGCCAAGGAGTTGGGGGTCTATGTAGGACAGCGATCACGGGCCTATAATAATTTGACTTTGCGTATCATGTTATTACAATTCAAAGTTAGAGAATTTTTAGAATTATGTGTGGCCCGTTTCAGAATCTGTTTTATACCAAATATATTCATCATTAACTACATTATCCTTTCCTGAGCCCAGTCTTTGGGCCGATACATCTACAAAAAGATAGCATTGTTCTCTCTATCAGCGAGATTGGGTTTGGGAGCCTGCGAGGTCTGGGTTTAATCTCCATCCCAAGGCAAACAAACCGGGTGGCCTGGGCAAGTCTCTTAACCTCCGTGTTCCTCCATCTATGAAATAGCAAGTCAGTACTTACCTCCCCAGGTGCGTGTGGAAAGCACAAAGCACACAGAGGCCTCATGCCCAGTTATGGTCTCTGAGCTCCACATTTTAACAACTTTGGTCTGCAGTCCAGATGTCTCTCGGCAGAAGATATGGATGGAACATGGCGCAACACATGACTCTCGAATCTCTGGATTCATTTCCCGGGCTGTCTTAGTGCACATGCATAACCTTTAGCAAGTGAATCATTTGTTCTGTGCTGGTCTGTCCAATGTATCACAGCCTCAACTTCCCCCAAAGGCTCCTTTGTCCGGGGAGTCAGGGAATGGAGGAGAAGCTCATGGTCTCCTTGCCCTGCAACCCGCCATACAGAAGACCTTCGTGCAAGGAGACGTGGAAGTCTCTGATGTCCCCTGGTGGCGCTGAGTGGTCCTTGTGGGCACATTCGCATCCTGAAGACATAGCTGGAAAAGTGGGCTGGGTGTGTTGGGCGGAGAAGAAGAAAACAAGTTGGTCCAGTTTTACATCAAGCAAAAGGCACGTAAAGTCAGTGACTTTGACAAACCTGTCCCCGTAGCCTTCCCGTCTGAGGCTCAACGTTCAGATGGCACCTAGGAGGGGGTCGGGACCCTTCTGCTGGGCTGGAGCTTCCCACACTGCTCCCTTCTGTCCCCTCTTTCAGAGAAGGTGCTGTTGCTAATGGCCATCCAGTGGGGGGCGCTCGGGTCTCCCTCCCCTGGGCCTTGTGAAGACTGCTGTCCCAAGCTGTTTACTAATGGCTCCCAGTGAGGACACAGCCTTACAATGACCTCCATGAATGTAGGGGGAGAGGTGGACGAGGAGGAAAAGCCCCAGCAAAGCCTGAAGAGTCTCCATGGCTGTTTTGTTTTTGTTGGGTTTTAATTTTTCTTTTTTAATGTTTATTTATTCTTGAGATAGAGAGACAGAGCGCAAGCAGGGAAGGGGCAGAGAGAGAGGGAGACACAGAATCAGAAACAGGCTCCAGGCTCCGAGCTGTCAGCGCAGATCCCGACGCGGGGCTCAAACTCACAAACCTCGAGACCATGACCTGAGTGGAAGTCAGACGCTTAACCGACTGAACCACCCAGGTGCCCCTTGCTGGGCTTTTTTAAAAAATTGCATGGTTTGTTTTGAAAATCATCCCCAAATATATATTGAGCCTTCCCTTGAAGCCCAACAATGTGTAGAACGGATGCTGAGGACATACGGAAATAAAGAAGGATGGTGGAGAGTGGGGTTGCAGGGAAGGGCTTCCTGGGAAAACGGGACTATTTGTCTAACCATGAGGGAGAGAGTCTAGGTCAAAGCTTTGCACACATATACCTCTGGGAGCTGGTCAGCGCCTGCTTTGGCCATTTTCACTTGCACCAGAGTCCAGCCTTCACTGTTCGACACAAGAACATCTGGAGTGACTGCATATTTAACTTTATACCCAAATATTTTGACACGGACCAGACATAGCTTATTTCTCACTCACCGCCTCTGGCACCTCCGTGAAGCTGGGTTCATCCTCTCTAGGCGTCGCCTGGTTTACAGGAAGTCGGACCTGGGGCCGAGCCTCCAACATGTCGGCCCAGGGCCGCTGCCCTTCCACACCCAGGAAAGCCCTGCCCAACGCACACACTGTCAGAAGTGGGAGGAAGCCAGCAGAATGCAGCGGAAGCGTGTGGAACAGAACAGCAAGGAGGAAGGGGTCCATCTTTCAGAATTCTGTGCTCCCCAGGGGCGCCTGGGAGGCTCAGTCGGTTAAGCGTCCGACTTGGTCATGATCTCATGGTTCGTGGGTTCGAGCCCCACGTCGGGCTCTGTGCTGACAGCCAGCTCAGAGCCTGGAGCCTGCTTTGGATTCTCTGTCTCCCTCTCTCTCTGACCCTCCCCTGCTCACGCTGCCTCCCTCCCTCTCTCCGTCTCTCTCTCTCTCTCTCTCTCTCGGAAATAAATAAAACATTAAAAAACATATTTAGAAAAAAAAGAAGCTGCCATTCAAGGAAGTTTGAAAAAAAAATCGCCCAGTCCCCTTTGTGCCCTAGTTCATTTAAATCAGGACCCAGGCACGAGTATTTTTTAAAGCCCCTCGGGTGACTCTAATTGGCAGTCAAGATCACAAGGTGCCTCACTCTCCTGAGCCCCCGCCTTGAAACCACAAGTAGAGGCAGTGCGTGAACAGGGGCAAGGGCCTTCTCAAGCCCTCAAATCCAGGATTCCGTGGGAAGCTGGCACTTTATGGGCAAAGAAAACAAATTTTGTGAAAATGCTGGGCCAGGAAATATTGCTCTGCAATTCCTAGGCTCCTCTCCCCCAAATGCTCTGGGGAAGCAGAGCTGGTCAGTCAGCCCATCAAGTGGGAGATTCTTACCAATGAGCTTTTTAGGAAATGTCCTTTACATTGAAGATGTTTCATTTTTATCACTTCCAAGAGAAACTCTTCTAAAATGCTTATGCAGTTCGCTACTTCTTTAACCACAGTACACTGGACATCCCTGGACTCTTAGCTGATGGCTCCCAGGGCACCATCATCAAGAAGGAGAGCGGTCATGTACAGTGATGCAATTTGTGCACTGCACAACTCCAGTGGGTGCTAGTTAGCTTGAAACCTCTTGGATTTTTACAGTTAGTTACCCTGTTTCCTGGCAGGTCACTATCAAGTGTCTTGAAGAAGAGGTACGTACCTTCTTTTATTCGCAGGCAGCAGGGTTAGCAAGCATTTCTGCGCAGTGCCCGGTACAAGGTGGGGCTGTGGGGTGAATGGGGCTGTCTTGGGTCCTACCCAAGACCATCCTGGAGACCTGGAATTGATAACGATTATTCCCATACCCTGTCACAGTCTGTCTTCTCCTTCACCTGCCCTCTGTCAGTTCCTCATTCTGCTACCCCCTCCACCAAGCAGCTCACCCAGGTACCACTTCCAAATGCACTGTCTCCAAAGAACAACATTGGCAAGTCATCAGCTGCATACCAAATGCATCTCTGGGGCAGTTCCTGGGGGAAGCCCTAAGCTTGGCTGCACACACCCCTAGGGCCAAGTGTCAGGGGCTGGTGGCAGCTCTCTGCCTTTCCTTTGTCACCTGTGTTCAGAGTCTTGGCAGCTCTATTTCAGATGGCTGGGGAATAGCCAGAAGTCTGACCCTCCGATTAAGTGTTGTCACTTTGAAAAAAAATTTTTTTTAATTTAAAAAGGGGCACCCAGGGGCGCCTGGGTGGCTTAGTCGGTTAAGCGTCCAACTTTCGCTTAGGTCATGATCTCGTGGTTCTTGGGTTTGAGCCCCGCGCTGGGCTCTGTGCTGACAGCCAGCTCAGAGCTTGGAGCCTGTTTCAGATTCTGTGTCTCCCTCTCTCTCTGACCCTCCCCTGCTCACACTGTCTCTCTCTCTCTCCTAGAAATAAATAAATTTAAAAAAAAAAATTTAAAAATTTAAAAAAAAATAAAAAGGGGCACCTGGGTGGCTCAGTCGGTTAAGTGTCTGACTTCGGCTCAGGTCATGTAGCTCCCTCTCTCTCTGACCCTCCCTTGCTCACGCTGTCTCTCTCTCTCTCAGAAATAAATTTTTAAAAAAATGTTGTCACTAAACATAAACCCACGTTTCATACCGACAAAGGGAACGGTGTTATTAGAGAACTCATTTGTTGAATTGGGGTGGGGGTGGGGGAGCATGGAGGGCTGTCCGCTCATTTCTGTTCTGTTTTATTTTGTTGCACCTAAATTCCCTATCGTATACATATCCCTAGACCTACATATTTCTCAAAACTTTCTGGGATGATTCTGAGGAGCAGCCAGGTTTGAAATCACGGGTCTGAAAGAGTAACGTCAGACACGCCTGGGAGCCCTCTGGGACGCGCCAGAGTCAACTGTACCCTCTCCCTGCTCCGTGTCCGCCACCACTTGGAGTCAGTCACTTTCAAGACTGGCCAGCCCACCTCCAGGTCAGCCACGGGGGAGAAGGCCAAGTGTACACAGCAGCCTCTCGAGCTAACTCTTGTCTCTTGCAGCCACGCTCTTTCCTGCCGCGCATCGGCCAAAGAGGTCCTCATCCCTGCCACTGAACCCCGTCCTGCAGAGCTCCCTGGAGGAAGTAGAACTGCTCTACGAGGTAGGCGGACAGGAAAGTGGTCAACTCAAGTCACGCAAGAGGCACTGCGCCTTCTCTATGATGTTTGGCAAAGGGACCAAGGTCCCTGAAAATGAGTGGCCAATGTTGTCATAGGGCCTGGTCTGGACTAATCTGTGGATTCATCGAATCCTTCCCACCTGAAAGTAAGGTATTCCTCGTATACCTCCCCCCCACCCCACCCCCGCTTCCCACATGATGGTATCAGTCGAGGCAAAAGTCGAGATTTCCGTTTGGCCCAGAGGTGCCACGACAGCACCTGAGCTACAGAGTAGAGCAGCGCCCCCCAGCCAAGGCTCAGCGGTCCTCAGGCAGAGCCACCCCGGTGGTCTCTGTAGAGCCGTGTCTACACGCTTCTGACAGTCTGGGGCCACCCTGAAGGCTCTCTTCCTCTGCCTCGCTCACCTTTGCTGCTAAAACCCCACTCCTCCTCCAGACCATAGGTAAACCCTCCCCCCAAGGCTGCTTAGACTCCTCAGTGGGGAAATTCCAGGAGCACCATCAGCTGTGTGACCTTGCACACGCCACCATTGTTCTCTGGGGCTGAAGCTCCTCAACCGTTACATGGGGAAGCACAATGATCTCCAAAATCCCCCTCCTCCCTTGACATCCTCCTACATCCGCCACGTACCAGAACTGTCTGGTTAAGAAAGAGATGGCTTACCTTAGCCAAGCAGCTGAGCTGGCGCGGGGGAGGAGGGAGAGATTTCAGATCCTGCCACGGGGATCAAACTCAGCCAAGCCTTGAACTTGGGAGTCACGTGAACAGATCTGCTCTGGAAAGACAGCAGAGAACAGCATGGAGGGTGAATTAGAGCCTGGGGGAGTCACAGACAGAGAAGGAAGTTAGAATTCAGAGTCCAAGAGGTATTTACCAGGTTCCTAATATGAGCCTGGCCCTGAGCAGGGGATGCATGTGGCCCACCCCACCCTACACTTACAGAACAGGTGCGAAATGAGAACAAATCTCTCATTAATCCCCACTTAATGCCTAGTACTATTCCCTGCATCCTTCAGATTCAGCTTCTGGTTTTAAATTGCCCAAAACAGTCGGCTCATGCTTTAGAAGATCTTTGGTGGGTGGGAGGGAGAAAGGGGTTGGTCTAGGACACTTGTAACAATAAGTCAGTCACTTAGCCAGTGTGTACCAGGCACAGTGTCAGACGTTGCCCATATTCGTCTTACCTATTTCTCGCAATCTCCCAGGGAAGTATTGTTGTTACTAATCATTTCACAGAGGAGGAAAATGAGGCTCAGAGAAGTTAGGTGACTCATCCAGGGTCACACAGCTAGTGGGAAAGTCAGAAGTGGAACCCAGTTCTCTTGGGTTCCAAAGCTCTCTCCTCGGCCATCTCCCTAAATGAACACACGTGATAATGAGTACAATGGTGTCCCCAACGAAGCCCGAATGCTTCATGTTTTTCCACGTCCATGTCTCTCTCCAGTTCCTGCTAGCTGAACTTGACATCAGCCCTGACCTGCAGATCTCCATCAAGGACGAGGAGCTCTCCTCGCTTAGGAAAGCCTCTGACTTCCGCATCATCTGCAATGACGTGATCCCCAAGCACATCCCGGACATCCGCCGGCTGAGCGCCAGCCTCTCCAGCAACCCTGGTGTCCTCAAGAAAGAGGACTTTGAAAGAACAGCACTGACCCTGGCCTACACGGCCTACCGCACAGCCCTGTCCCAAGGGCATCAGAAGGACATCTGGGCCCAATCCCTCCTTAGCCTCTTCCAGGCCCTGAGGCACGACTTGATGCGGTCCTCAGGCCCCGGAGTGTCTCCCTGAGGGACCGGCCCACGCCAGGACCACGGAGCAGGGCCCAGCACACACAGTAATCCAAACACTCTTCATTCTCTACTCCATTTACAGAGCCCAGCAACAAAGCGTGTGCCACCAGCTCAGAGTAGCAGAGATCAAATAAGTCACCCCACGCCCTTTGCCCCCTTGTAGTTTCCTGACATGCACATCTGATCACACTCTGTGACCGGGGCTGGAAGAAAGGGCTAGAGCGGTCATTCAAGATGCCTCCAAAGGCCACAAGATTTGCCTGGTGACATGCAGAAGTCTGAGATATCACTCAGCCCTTCATCACTGAGGGGCTGCCAAAAGCACCCTAGGGTGAAGACAGAGCAGAGGAGACAGAGGTTTGGGCATGGCAGGAAGCTGGGGGACAGAGATCAGGGCGTGAGGCCGAAGGAACCTCATTCCAAAGGTTCTACACAGTAAGATACTTAAACCAAAAACCTAGAGCTAAAGCCAAATAAATACATTGGTAGCCAAAGGTCTACTTCTCAACTTTTCCAAACGTCACCAAGAAGAATCAGTTAGAAAATCAGTAACATTAGGGCCTGTCGGTCTTGTCTCTTCTCTGAAAGCTTATCTAATACAGAGGAGAAGCATGAAGGGGTCTCACAGAGAAGCCGCAAACAGACCTTGTCTTCCGAACAGAGAAAACCAGCAGATGCAGAGAGGGTCACCCTATGAAGAGGTGGCATCAATATCCATGCCTGTCTATCTGGCTGCTAAAATTAGCTAGCATCATCAGAGAATCAAGTGCCCCCCCAAAAAATGTTTCTTTTAGACAACGGGACTTACCCTTTCAAATGCCAGAACTTTTGTTTTAGCAATATTGACTGGCTATCTTTTTAAACTGTATGTACAAGCCATCTTGAGCTTTTATTTAGTGTCTTTGAAACATTCTGATGAAGGAATTGGATTATCTTACTTCTAAGATTGCTCAACTTCTGAAAGTTCCATGATCACTGAACCAGCCGTGAAATATTACAGGGAGGACCCGGGGACCTAAGGGGTTTGCCAGACTATTTGCACCAATCCCAGAAGGCCCCCCAGGCTTTGCTAATTCTGTCTGGTGTGCGTTCTGCTGCCTTCTGCACTGTGAGACTGTAAGAGTGCACTCTTCTTTCTTTCCAACATAACTTGCCCTTTGCAATGTGTCTGATTTTGGCTGCTACCAACTAAATAACAAAGCGGTGAGGCTTGTCATAATTCTGTGTTAAATCGTAGTTAGTCAGTGAAGATCCCGGCGAACAGAACGCACTGGGCTCTCATATGGATTCCTCACCGGCTCTCTAGATTGACAGCTGGGTTGTGGAGGCTAACATTGCAAGAGGTCTAATCTTTGAATGAGTGAGAACTTATCCAGCTAAATCTGAATCTGACACGGGTATTTAACAATTGTCATTTGATGATGGCCTAAAGTTGGTCTGCACTTTTTAAGAACGTTGAGTAAGTGATTGCTTTGCAGTTGCATAATTCTTTTGGGAGAAATAGTGGGATGTAGGAAGAAGGTATTCATCATCAGAGAAAAACACAGCATGGAAAAAATCCTGATGTTCTTGGGCTCAGAAGATCAATGACTGTCAGTCTGTCTGGTTCTCATTTCCTGATTATACCGCTCTTTTACATCCCTCAGATGCAGTCTCTGCTGTATGCTTTGGTTTAAGTTTTCTCTTTCTAATATTACACGTTCTCTTGGACATGGTTTGTGTCTCTTCTGCTTTCTCTTTGGGCCCAATTTTGATTATCTTTGTATCCACTTCTTGAGGCACCTCCCAGTCTCTTTCAGTTGACTTACGCTCACTCTAGCTCTGTCTGCCTGTACACTGATGCTCACTGTCCTCAGCCCCTTTTGGGGATCACTGTCTGACCAAAACAAAGGTCAAAGTACAGGGCCGAGATTTCCCAGAAGGCAGATTAGCCTCACGGCTGCCTTCACTATTTGTACTTTGCTGGATGTGGGGTGGGGAGAAGGTTAGCAGAGGCCTCAATCCTTTGACATTGTGCAATACATACCCTGACATCAGAGTCTTGCATCCCATCCCGGGGCTCCACCCCCATCAGGATGGATCTAGGAGCCTTTTTTTTTTTTTTTTAAATCACTGGATAGAAAGACCACCTTGGTTGTCCCTCTCTGTCATGTTATGATATTCATGGCTATTGCTAGTAGTAGGAGATTCATGCATGGGAGGAAGGTTCCCAGGACCAGCGATAACCTGGAAGTCCATTCACCCTGTAGCAAAATTAAAGGCACTTTGGTACTTGTAAATTGAGGTACGTATTTATGTGGCAATCAAGGACTGAAAAAAAAAAAAAACAAGAAGGGCATGACCTTTTTAAAGACAAATGAAAATTTCATTTTCAGTAATTTGAGGACGCTATTAAATACCATTTGGGGCTGAACACAAATTAATTGTTTACCACAAGAAACTTTATAACAATAACCTCACTTACGTGCAAGGTCAAAGAGACCGCTCACCAGCACCACCAGAGACCGACTCGACTCTGCTCGGCGAACAGTGAAACAGTACATTGGATGGAAAAAGACTGTCCCATTTTGCCTCATTAATGCCACACTGTAACACCACATCACAGCCAGATCACATTTTGTAACATTTACACGTAGAAAGAATACTGTGTGGGGCATGGTGTCTGTAGCAGAAATTTGCCTGTAACTTATGGGACTAATTCTGCCATTTCTATACTGCTGGGAACTTTTAGGATCTAAAAATTCTGGAAGCTTCTTCTAGCGTCGGTATATCCTCGGGGTTACCTCTGCTGTCACTCAAGAGACACTGAGAAACATCTGTATGGCTGAAACCCCCATTCCCCTGTCATCTCTCCTTGAATCGAAAAGAGCATCACCTCACTGGTAAATCAGTCAGAAGATATTTCCACCGGTGAACAGATCTAAAATGAAATACTTGTTAAATGTCTTTACATGGCGCCCCCTAGTTTCCCAACCCATTTCAATGTCTCCCATTTTTTTTTATTGTGGCAAAAACACATAACGTGAAATGTTCCATCTGAGTGTTTCAGTGTGTTCGCTGTAAGTACATTGTGCTACGACAGATCTCTAGAACTTTTCATTTTGCAAAAACGATACCTCTGGAACAATAACTCCCCTCTCTCCTCTCCCCGCCAGTGTCTGGCAACTGCCTTTCTACTTTCTGTTTCTAACAGTTTGACTACTTTAGATACCTCATATAAGTGAAATCCGCCTTATGTTTCTTAAATGTAATATCCTGGAAAATGTTTTCTTCATCTGTAAAATGGATAGAGTCCTGAAGGAGAGCTACTGGCCTTACTGTGTTGCTCACCTTCCCTAATTTTATTTAACAATTATTCCTTATGGTGTAATAAAAATGTCATGATCGAGTTTACGAGGCTCAATGCAATCTTTGTTATGTCAGATTATCTCGCCAGGGAATGCGAAGGGGTCCATGGGTTAAAAGTGGATGTTGATTTCCACAGCTGTTTATTATGATTCAGCCTCTTTAATATTTGCCACCCAAACGTCATGCACATGGTATTGCCTTTCTGAGTTACAAGTTCATCACAAGAGTGAGGCCCGAATGTAATATATATGGTAGCCAGTTTTTAACACGCATTTAAAGAGATAGGTCCTCATTGCCCATCCTACAATGGCAAGAGAACCTCAGAAGGAGCCTGGGCTGTCCGCAATTGCACCTGCCTTAGAAGTCAAGAAGAAGTGGTTTTCTGGGGTCGCTCCTCCAATCATTTTACATTTAGCCTGGGGATCATTTCCAACGGGTCTATTGCTGCTGACCATAGAATCTCATTCTCGCATTCTGTGAGTTAAGGGAAACGTGGGTAACCTTATCCACATGTCCTTTCTGAGAAAAGAGGCTGACAACTTCTCCTGATCTCCAAGCAGCAGAAATTCCGGAGTGCAACAGCTGCTAGGGCCCTGACCCTGAACTCCTCAACTTCTTCCCTGCCTTCCCACCTCCTTGCGTACCAGCCAAAGGAAGTTTTCTGCTTCTTTCTTTTCTTTCTTTCTTTCTTTTTTTCTTCTGGTAATGAGCCTCAAAGAGGAGTATGTGAACACCTACTCTGGCCAGAAAGACCGCTGACATCTGGGCATCAAGAGCCTTGAAAAGGAGACTGTCATCTAGACTTATCCAGAGATAAGTCTATTCCCATTCTCCCTAAAAAGGTCTGCGATCTTTCCTATAGGCTAACACCCTCTGCTGATCCAGATGATTCGTACTCACTCCGATGCTGAAGCAAATGATCTTTGTCACCAGGGATACCTGAAAGGCGCAATGTTGTACACTCTGTGCGGGCAAATTTCCCCAGAATGATTATTTCGTATTCTCCCTGCCACCAAACACATCTTCCCAAGGACCCGGTTAGTAAGTGCCCCCTCACCCCCACCCAGGGACAGCTCTGCGTAAGTGGGATGATGTTTACCATGATGACCATCACTCGGGCCCCCAGGATGTTTGAGAAACAAAAATAAGCTCTGCAAGTTTGCCTGAGTTCTGCGGACTCAGCAGGCCCCTGCTGGGACCAATCAAGAGCCGCCTTTGGAAGAGATACGGCCGCATTCTTTCCAAGGTGCTGATTGGCTTTGAGGGATGGGCGGGGCTGCTGCCTCCTGTCCGGCTTCCCATAGGTGAAGGCAAGCTAAGGTGGGTCCCCAGCAAGATTTTGTCCCTGGAAGATAGGCAAAGTCCTGGGGATTTTTTCTTTCCCCTGCTCAGGAGGCCCAGGCTCAAGCAAATTATAAGTGGGAAACCCATTGGAAGGAAAGAAATTTGAACCGACTTAAGGTGCCAGAGAGAGGAGCAGCCCTCTCTGAAGTCTGCATCTGCCGCTGACAAACTTGGGGGGCTTGCGTCCAGGGAGGGGGGTTCAGCAAGCACAGGCAGGGGAGAGACCGGTCCTGCCCAAACAGGCCATCAGAGAGGGGGAAAGTGATGGAGGGGACCACTCTGTGCGCTCGGTGTTTTTAATTTTTTTAAAAGCCTTTCGATGATTTCTCCAAGGCTAAGCAGCAGCCCCAGAAGTGTGGTCTTGACTGGGTAGGGGGGCCTTTTGCGGAGCCCTAGAATGAAGCTACTCTAGCAGTGGCCACGCGAAGGGGTGGGGGGCCCAGGATGCCTCGGCTCATCGTCCTGCATCGCTCCCCTTCTGCCGGGCGCCAAACTATGCTCACCAGTCCCACCTAAACAAGGAGGCGAGGAGCCCAGCCTTTTGTGCAAACAGGAGCTGTAACTGCCCTCCTTTTCTGCCCCAAGACAAGAGAGGGCTCTTGGAAGCCGCGAAGGCTCTGAGAAGTCTGTTCCGGACCGAGCCGTCGCTGGAGGCCCCTGGCGGCGCGCCCGGGCGCGGAGCTCCGCGATGGGCCTGCTCCAGGGCCTCCTCCGGGCGAGGAACCTGCTGCTCGTCATCTTCGTGCCGCTGATGCTGCTGCCTCTGCCCGTGCTCCACCCCAGCAGCGTGAGTACTGTCCCCTCCTGTCCCTGCCGGCCATGCGCCCGGCGCCGGGGCGGGGGCGCGAGGGATGGGGTGCCGCGCGCCTCTCCACAGGCTTTTCTCCAGGGCTCAAGGCTTGCACGTGTCTTTCTGGGGAGGTTCAAATGCTTTCGGCGCCCCAACTGCCGCTTTCGGTCCCGGCCGCGTGGCCCCCCAGCCTGGGTGAGTTTGGAGGGGCGGCCGAGCCGGCTGATGGGGGCTACACCACCACCCGGCCGCCTGAACCGGCCATAGGGGACCCACTCCGTGCCCGTACGGAGAAGGACACGGTGCTGGGCCTGCATTTGCCCGGGGTCACATGTGACCCTCTTTCCTGTGAGGGAGTCGGAGAGAGGGAGGCCCCCCCGTAAGGACCCTTGGGGGGGGGCGGGGAGGATGGTCAGGGAGGGGGTTGCCCGTGGGACTGGGGCTGGCGTGTCGCTGTGGGGGCTCCTCCCCACCCACCCACGGTCTGTGGCTGGCCACCCTGGCTTCTGATAACCACGCTTTGAAATGTAATCGCTCAAGTTCCCTCTGAACTTTACATTCAAAGCGGAGCTTGGCACGTTGCCCCAGTGCCATGCCTATGGCCCTTTGAGTATTTGCATCCACTGTGTTTTCTCTGTGCCCTTGAAGAGGAGGCATTCAATGACGCCATAAAAAAGAAATACGGAAGCCCCCAACTCTAGACCATGACCTGATTTTTGACAGGGTTTGCATGAGCAGAGATGCTGAAAGCTTTGGCTCTGCCTTTGGCTTGCTTCTCAGACCATTGTTGGTCTCCTTTCCCTTTCTGTCTCCCTCCTCTTCCTCCCCCTCCTCCCCTCCCTCCTCCTTCTCCCCCCTCTTCCTCTCCTCCTTTCAGGGGCTTTACCCCTCCTCCTGCCGCCACTACCCTTAAGACTTTGGGGAAAATAAGCTAAGAGAGGTTAATCGTGTTTGTGGGAGGGGGAGAGATTTTCCAAGCAGCTCCCTGAGTAACTTGGTAACCGACATTGAGTTATAAAGTTAAATAGAGGGGATTAGAATGGCTCGTCTTAAAAACAAACTGGCTTAAATCTTTACTAGAATAAATATCCCAGAGTGCCAGGGAGACGCTGATTAACACCAGGCTGGGATTAGCAGACAGTGATTGCTGCTGACAGTGTCCCTACGTTTACACCAGTCAATTCTCTGATCTGTCCAAATGACCTGATTTTCTTTCTTTCTTTCCTTCTTCTTATTTTTTCTTCTTCTTGGTTTGTAGTTGTTGTTTTTGCTCAATATCAGGGTGCACTGAAGGGAGCGTTAACCAAAGACACATCGCCCTCTTCCCCGTGGCAGTATCAGACTCCTCTGTGGCCCCCCCAAGTCAGCCCCGTGTTTGGGGTCCACGAGTCTAGGGCGTGGCATTGCCTACATTTCATTCTGGGGCCCTGGCTTTGAGTTTCTGAGTCACCAAGGACAGTAAGAAGCATCCACAAGAAGAAAAAAATAAGTTATTGAAGTAAGCAAAACAGTCTACAAATTCGACGGAAGACAGGTGCTATCTAAAAGAGGAAGGGCAGCCGGGCTCTGTTTGGATCCATAAGGAATTTTCGAAGAGAATTTTTAAAGCTGGACTTACTGAGGCCAAAAGATGCGGCCCTTTCCTGACCTGGTCCCTTCTGTCAAACTGAGTCGGTGACATTTGGGGGCCAGATAATTCTGTCTTGTGGGGAGGGGCTGTCCTGTGATTGTGGGGTATTCAGCAGCCCCCCGGGTCTTTCCCCATTAGATGCCAGCAGCACACACTGCCCGCCCCATGATGGCCACAAATGCTTCCAGATATTACCCAGTACCCCTGGGGCTGGTGGGGTGGGGGTGCAAAAGAAAGTCGACATAACACTACCTCAGGGCTTCCCGGCCAGCGCACATGGGTTAGCGGAGGGTGGGTATTTTGACTCCCCTGGGGACAGCTAGCTGGAGCCCCGAGTGGCCAATGCCTTCTGAGCCGGACAAAGCGTGCTTGCCACTTACCCAGTTTGCCCTGCAAAGATGATTTCTCCGCGTGTCACCGTGTCAACAAGAGTTCTGCTCTTCTTCTACCAGGACATAAGAGCATCTTGAGGTGGCCGGTGCCCGCAGCGAGCACAAACCAACACGTAGAATGTCTCTGACCCATTCTTTTCTCCTGTGTATTAAACTTTTTAGGTTCTGATATTTAATCCTCAGGATTCCTAAATGGGCCTGTCTGCTCTGGGTTGGAGCTGAGAGACATGGCCTGGCCAGGGGCTCCTGGCCTGCTGTTCTGATGTTTCTTCAAAGTGACAAGCCACAGCTACGTTTTAGGAAGGATTAGAAGGACCTTCCCTTTCTTCCTGCCCAGCTCTCTAAAGCCCAGGGGCCCAGACTCAGTTTACCACGTTACAGAAAAGAAGGGCATGGGCAGTGGGGTGGGGGTGGGGAGTCCGTCCATAAGTTAGCCCTGCTTCAGGGTCCCTGGTGGGACAAAGGTCCCGCCCAAGCCCCAGGCTAAACTGCAGAATGGCCTCACCTTCATTTATGACAGCAAATAAACAGACCTCAAGCCCCTTCCAGTGAAGTTGGAATGGAACATCAGTGAGGTGATTGAACAGCATGGAAAAGGAACGGATGCAAACGTCAGTTGGTGGCAGAGTCAGGAAACATCCAATGTGGGGAAATGCCACTTCGGAGGCTTTGAGCTCCCTGCTTTATTTATAAAAGGAAGCAAAAAAGAGCCAGCAACGCTATCCTTTGAAGGCACTGCCTGAATACTCATCAACGCCTACATACCTGTGGACTAGTGGCAGCAATAAGGGATCGAGGGTTTCCAGAGTATTCTCTCTGATAGGTAGCTAAGAAAAACCTGATAGCCAACCAAGGAACCCAGTGCAGCTCAACCAATATTAAAATGTCTACCTGCCAGACCTTGGCCAGATGTGGAATCCCAGGATTCCTATAATCAAACCTCATGAGAGTATTTGGGGTTATCTAAATATCAGCTTGCCCATTGAATTTTGAGAAGGTTCAGAAGGAGCAAAAGGAAGTTTATGTAAACTCCATGGCTGGAGTGGGTGAAAAATATGTAAAGTCCCTCTGGAGACCTTCTCTTGGCCATTCTTCTGCTCTGAGGAAAGTCCAGGGGAAAAAATGGTGATGGTAGATTATCCTGTTCCTTATAATGCTGGATGAAGGGGAACCTGGATGGCTCAGACGGTTAAACATCTGACTCTGGATTTCAGCTCAGGTCTTGATCGCAGGGTCACGGTTTTGGCTCTGTGTGGGGCATGGAGCCTACTTAAAAAAAATTCTGGATGAAGGTGGCTTGCTGACTTCCTCCAAGCCAACCCATTCTAATTCCTAAATTTACCTTGGCTTACCCAAATCCTCCTAATTCAAACTAAAATGGTGCCTGGTAGAAAGCTCTTTCTGTCTATCATTCTTTCTCTCCGTCTGTCCCCCTGCGGCCCCTTCCCCCCACCCGCCTTAATTTGCGACTCTGTAATGACAAGAAAGACTGAAGATTCTCAGTGAGGGACAGATATTCTGTCTTCTTTATCTTCAGCTGAGTTAAGACTGTTCTGTTTCTCAGAAAAGATATGAAAACAAGTGGGCTCAAGTGGGGTAAAGGGCTTTGAACGTCTTTAGGTAGTTTTGTTTCTGCAACAAAGGGGGTATGTCTCTAAATTGCATTATTTTCCATTGGAGCCCTCCACCACCCCCAGCACCCCCCCCTTACTGATTCTGTTGTCTTATCAGTGACTTCCAAACATTTTAACTTCTCTCTGATCTTTTGGCCCCAGAGGAAATCTCAGCGGGAGCTACAGTCAACACCTGTTGGGCCCAGTTCCCATTTCCCAAACCCCAAGACAGTAATCCATGCATATCAGGAGGGAGCAAGGTCCTATCCAGCCAAGCTGGGTTAATCACTCCTGACGCCCCTCACTGATCATGGCGACCTTTTGTAACTTTTGTGCAAGAGTTTGAGGAGGCTTGTTCTGAATCCAAGGGAGAGATAAACAGAACAAGATTTGTCAGGTTTCTTGACCACCCGCCAGCCTCAGGGCACGTCAGACCGGAGCCCAGATGGTTTAGAACTATGTATAAATTGAAGAACACACAGCCAGCTTGGACCTTCTACACAGTGGCCCTCCAGGTCCATTGTTGGGGCCCTTGGATAGTGACCTCTCCCAAGAGTAAGCCAGCGACTTTTCTCAGCACCCTTAATCAGCATCATTCTGAGTAACCAGAATTACTAGAGGCTGAAGTTAAGGAGGGCCCATTGTTGATACAATGTGGTGCTTTTTTATTCTGTGCACCCAGATGTTGTACAGCCAGCAAAGGGAGGGGGTTGGGAAAAACTCTGGTAAATTTCCAGCCCTTCCCTTCCAGGTAGACAGCACTTTTTATTCCCTATGACTCATGGCTGCTTCTCTGGGCGTCAGGCAGGTGGAATGAAGTCCCAGAGCAACGAGAACCAGATATTGGCCAGGGCAATGGTTCTCACCCCGGGACAGATTTCCCCACCCCCACCCTGGGGGACATTTAGCAATGTCTAAAGACATTTTTGGTTGTTCGAATGGGGAGGTGCTACTGACATCCAGTGGGTAGAGGCCAGGAATGCTAAACATCTTAATGCACAGGGCAGCCCCCTACAGCAAGGAATTATCCAGCCCCCAAATGGGCCAGTCTCAGAGCTCACATATGAACTGGTTACACAAACTGATGCCTACTTTCAACACCCCCAAAAACATCTGCGCCCAATCAACTCGACACCAAGTTACCGTGCTCCATGTTAAAGCTGTGAACTCCAACTTTAAGGGGTTTGATCTCGGGTCTGGACACTACAGTAAATTGGGGTCCCCAACCTGCACAGTTTCAAGAACGGGCAGAGCTGGGACATGGTAAGTCTGGCAGCCACCCTTCTGCAAACCACGTGCCAGGCCCTGGTCCACCCAAGGAGCAGCCATTACTTCACACACCAAAGTGTGGGCCCTGCCACGTATCTACCACAGGCCCCTTCCAAGGCCGGCTCTGCACACCCCAGGGCCCTGCCCTGGCGCCCATGTTTGAGTCTGGGTACCAGCTGCCTCCGCCCGGGGTCTTGTTTGGATTCTCAGCAGCAGTGGCTGTCCCTGTGACTGATGGCCCATTCTCCTTCCTTCCTTTCCAGGAAGCTGCGTGTGCTTACGTGTTGATCGTGACCGCCGTGTACTGGGTGTCTGAGGCGGTCCCCCTCGGAGCTGCGGCCCTGGTGCCTGCCTTCCTCTACCCGTTCTTCGGAGTCCTCCGATCCAGCGAGGTTAGACCGCTTGTGGCCCAGCCCCCTGTCGGGTCCCCGCCGGGCCGGTGAAAGTGGGCTCAGGGTGAAGGGACAGTCACAGAGCACTTGAGGAGGGGGCTTTATTCACCCTCTGGAACACTCTCTTAGCACTAAGCCTTTGCGCCTGCTACTCCAGACCCTGCGTACCTCTCCCATGACCCTCATATCCTTCAGACTGTCTCTTTCAGGAAGCCTTACTTGGTAAGTCACATCCAATTGCTCCTTTGGCCTGAAACCCTCTAGGAACTGTGTGATTGGTACATATAAGTAACCTGCTGTTGACCTTTGTCAGTCTTTTGTATGCCCACTTAAAGCATAAGCACTCAAAGGCAGGAATCAGTTTCCCAGGTCTTTGGAATCTTATAAACCTGAGCCCATATACAGTAGGTGCTCAATAAATGTTTGTTGACAGAGAGACTTACCATGCTTTCCTGAGTCCTGACAATGTTTTCATACACTTCCCCTAAAAAGAAAAATTCCATTCCTTCTTCCCCAACTCAAGATTACTGCATATTGCTTCCTTGACTGCTGTCTACCTAGAACCTGCCTTCTCTGTCGACTCTCTCTATGCCCTTCTTAAAAACTCAAACAGGGGGCGCCTCGGTGGCTTAGTCAGTTAAGCGTCCGACTTTCCCTTAGGTCATGATCTCACAGTTCGTGGGTTCGAGCCCCTCGTCGGGCTCTGTGCTGACTGCCAGCTCAGAGCCTGGAGCCTGTTTCAGTCTGTGACTCCCTCTCTCTCTGACCCTCCCCTGCTCACGCTGTCTCTCTCTCTCCTAGAAATAAATAAAACATTAAAAAAAAAAAAAAACTCAAACAGAAATTCTAAGTCCAGGTTGTGGTCAGCATTCAGGGCAAACACTCACACCTACCACAAGTGGGAAAGAAGAAAAACACAACCAGAACCCAGAAGCAAGATGAAAGACGGCCCTCGTTCATTAACACCTGGTTCTATTTAGACTCTTGTTATAGCACGTGGTCTCTGATTCGAGTTTCTAATAAAGATTGAATGGCAGAGACTAAGGACAGAGGCACAGAAGAAAAATGAAAGTGAATTGATGTCTGCTGGGCTACTAGGTATCAGGCACTATGCTGGGAGTACTAGATCAGTTATGCAATACCCCTGAGATCTCTACCAGTGGGGGTTAATATTCCCATTCTACAGATGAGGAAAGAGGCTCAGCGAGTTAAGAAACTCACTCAAGATCACAAAGTAGTAGAACTGGATTCAAACTCTTATCTAGTAGATTTCAAAGTCTATATTCTTGCCTGCTATGCCAGAAGAAAGACATTCCATAAAGTAGCTTCATGGGGAGTTATTACTAAGAACTCTGCATCTCTTTTCCTGTGTGATGTGAGGAAGAAATAATGAAGCTGGGCCTACCTATGGGATGCCGTAACCATGAGAGACAGAACTGTTTTGGAAGTCCAAAGACAGAATTAGGCGATCCGCTAATTGTTATGCTTGACTTCACCTGAATAGATTGTCTTTCTACCAGATGGACTCAACTGGCCAGTGCTTTGTTTGTTTGTTTGTTTGTGTTTGGGGTGTTTGGGGTTTTGGTCTTGGTTGTTTGTTTTATTCTGTATTATTTTAGTTTTGGGGTGAGAGGGTTGGGGACAATGCGTAGCCATAGTAGCTTTAAGTTTCCCCAAAAGAATAGAATCTCCTAACCATCAGCAGTGCTTTTGTTCCTTGGAGATGGGAACAAATCCAACATCTGGGGACCCATATAAAAGCTAGCCTGTAACCCAAATCACCGGGGGTTGCTCCAGTGCGTCCCCTTCCTTTGTGGGAAAAACAATAGGTAGTGTGGTCTGTTTGCATGCCTAAAAGAACCAACCTTACTGTTTATTTATTTTTGAGATAGAGAGAGACACAGAGGGGAGGGGAGGGGCAAAGAGAAAGAGAGGGACACAGATCCGAAGCAGGATCCAGGTTCTGAGCTGTCAGCACAGGCCCTGACCCAGGGCTCAAACTTACGAACTGTGAGATCATGACCTGACCTAAAGTCAGACGCTCAACCGACTGAACCACCCAGGCACCCCAAGAACAACCAACCTTAAATAATGATTTTTCTTAAGAAAAGTGTTTAAGCTTATTCTGCATGTTTCTCTTTAAAAGCGAGAAACCAAAAGCGAATGAGTCAGGGAGTGAAAACAGAAGGCAGAGAAAAGAGTGACGTTACAGAAAAAATTGAATCTTAGCATTTAAAGTGAGCTATTAATTAAAGATTTCTGTCTTTGTATTTCACTACAAGCAGCCTCAAAGTCAACAGCACACTAGCCTTGAAGTAGATGATGTCCCTATTTCTCCAAGGGCTGCCAGAAGCAGGAATCCTCCAGAGGGGCGGTCCAATCAGCACCTCAGCACTGTAGAGATGTTGCTAGGCAACCGTTCATCCAAGGGCCCGCCCCTTGGAAAGCCAAACCTACAAGGCTCTGTTGAGTCAGTGGTTTAAGGGATAACGTGACCTTGTGAGGAGAAAAGGAAGACTGTCAGATGAAGGATTAGGCATCATTATTGCTGGGGCTAGAGATGGAAAACATTGGAGGAGCCAGAGTGCAAGTCTTACTACTTGAGGTGAAGAATCCTACCCTATCTGTCTGATAAAGTGGCATTGGCTGGAGATGATATTTAACAGTTGGGTTACAGGAAGCATCTTAAGCCAGATAGAGTCTGTTTAGCTGGCTTTTTAAACTCAGATCAGAGGGAAATGCCGATAAGTGGAGGACATGGCTTATGATCCTTTGTGAGTCACCAAACTTTGCAGATAGAGACCCACTCCAAACGCCTAATCCACAACCAGCAGCCACACCCCTACACCAGCATGTGCCCTGGCTCCCAGGGAAAAGGCAGTCTGGGGGTCTTCAGGAGTCCCCTTTGCAGACAAATCACCTACTTGTCACTCCCCAAACCCACTTTGTGCTTGCCTAGCCCTTTGCCTTGACTCGGTCGGAGTCCTCTCCAATTCCCTCCACATTTAAAATCACCCTCTATAGTGAAGCCTTTCCAAAGACCTCAGCTAAAAGTGTTGCTTCCTTCCCTTGGAGTCTGTTTGATGTCTTTATCGCTTAAGTGGCACATCAGATATACCTACGATAAACTTACTGTAGCCATGTCCTCTCTCCACAAAGATTTGCAGCCCCTAGGATTGATGGTGTCTATGGCCTGGATGCAGTATGGGCTATGCTTGCACTGACCCTCAGTTAATGGTCTTAGTTGCAAGGTAGACACCTTGATGGTGTGGCAATAGTGTCTCCTCCACCTAAGGGAAGGCGTGTGGATAGGCTCAGTATGACTCTGGAGCCATGGCTTTTGTCCCTCATGTTTATTCATTCAACGTTCAGAAAAATATTTTTTGAGTTCTGTGTCTACCATGTGTAGTATGGGATGTTACAGGTACCCTGAAGGTGACGAAAATGAAACACTTAATTTCTGCCCTCTTGAATGTCACAGCTGATGTTTGAGTTTCCTACTGTCTGCTTGGATGTATGCATATAGATGGTAAATTTTCACGATGATGATTTGATGGTCAGCAAATGTTAAGAGTTTGTTGTGTCCAAAACTCAGACTTCCTTCTCTCGGTCTTGCTGCAGAGAGATAGAAAAAATGATAGAAATGGCTCCTGACCTTGAGAAGTTTCTATTCTAACACAGAGGAGGCACAAACCAAATGAGAAAACACTGAAGACCTATGCAATAATGCCTTGTTTTCAGGCATTGCAGAGGATTCACACAATTCCCCAAGAGGGAATGTTCTAGATAAGTGAAATTTACCCCACCAAGAGCCCAACTTTTATATTGACCACTTGTGGACTGAGGCCTTTCTAGAAGGCTTTATAATTTCCCCAGCCCTTTAAACAGAAGCTGTTGAATACAAATTAACTTCTTCTTTGGAGCCTTCAAAATTTCCAGGGGAAAAAGAATTTCTCAATCAAAGGAGCCCATGTGGGCTGGATGATAACACAGTTGAGTAACTGGAGTGCTGGCCCAACAGCAGAACCTAAAGAATCTTGAGTAACATACTGGCAGTGGACCGGAGAGAGAGCTCAAATGAAAATATAAAAGACGTGTTATCAGATCTGCCGATGACTCCAAGCTAGACGGGCAAACTAATGTACAGTGACAAAAATCAATGTTGACAGGATGAGACAATGGCCTGGAACTGACAAAATGAAGTTTAATAGGGATGAATGTTAACAGTTTGTGTGAAAAGGACCCTTGGCTTTTAGTTGAGTACAGATTCCATATGAATCATCTATCAGTCCACTGTGGCTGCCAAAATGTTGAGCTTTTACCATATGCCGGGCGCTATGGGAGGTCCTCGACATGCACTGTATCACTTAATCCTCTGTAAAGGAGCTATTATTTTTCTCTTTACAGAGGAGTTCAGAAATGGAATTTCAGAGAGGCTAAGTAACTTGCTAAGGAGTCGAGCCAGGACTCGAACCCAGGAGAATATATGATCCCAGAATTTGCACTCTTAACCACTGGCCAATATGTACTGAGATCTGCTGAATTAATAAACATACGTGTTCAGAGTCCAAGCCCCGTAAGAGAGACCCGCCCCATCTGAGGGAAGGTGCTGAAATGGGCTGCCACGTGGCTCCTGGGTGTTCCTGTCCCCGGGAATGCCAGGGACCGTGTCGGCAACATTAGAGGTAGATTTCATGCCTTGGGAGAGGGGTTGGGCTCAAAGTGCCCTTTGACTCTAAGACTCTATGATCTTCTTGTTAGCATCCTGCCTCGACTTCTGAGCTCAGTCCGGGATTTTAGGTTTGTTCTTTATTTTACCTCCGCTGTGACTCTCACCACTGTCATTATATCTGCCACGGAAATCCTCTAAGCCCTTCTGAAGCGTTGCCATAGCCTGGGAAAGTACCCGTGTCGATCATCTTAGCTAAGATTTACTGTGTCTAGGAGGGTGGGAGCGAGAGGGTGCTCTGGGGCAGTAAAAGGTGTGCTTTGATTGATCA